TCAATCAATTAGAAACATGACATATAATAATAACATCTCAAAAAATTAGACCAGAAGCTTGAAATTATTAAGTACTATAGTTGTTGGACAGTAAGTAATAGTATCGCTTGAAAATCAAATTTTGTAATCTGTTTCTAGAGATGCTACTGAACTTCATAGAAGAAGTCACTTCAAGCAGTGCACTGACAAAATCTCACACCTACCACAAATGCCTATGTAAAAGTGAGTTAGCATGGCTCAAGTTTTAATTGCATTAATCAACAAGTAATAACTTCAAATGAAACGTGATTGAGACTACTTACGTTTGCAATAGAAATACATACACTGTAAAAACTTCACAACACTTTCACTATTTGTAGCTGCAATTGCTTGTTCTAAGCTTCTAATTAATCCTTATTAACGGGGAGCCTCATTATTAAGATTTCGATAATGTTTACATTCATACATGTAGGTTAGAATGATGCAATGTGATGCAATCAGACATACGCTTTATATCAATCGGTTGGAAAAGCGGAGCTTTATGCCATATTGTAAATTATAACATGAATAGGGGCTTACAATCATATTTTATCGTATTTATAAACCGATGATGATTTCAATAAATTGATGAACGTCAAAGAATAATTGCAGCCTTTGGCGGTAGGCATCGCAATCTGTAAACATAAAAAACTACTAGATTCATCCGATTTTAATGGCTCTAGTCCGGTCCGTTTAGACAATGGAATATAGAAATTTTGAATCTTTTCGAAAATGTAGATTTTCACGCGCAAAAAAGGACAATTCTATTTGGCGTGATCCAATATTGGATGAAGCGATAGTCATGAAGCCGAAAATGGCACGTTTTTGACGTTCCGCTCGCACTCGCTCGCTTTCGTAATACGATCATATCTACAATACCCCGCCTAACAGGAATCCGGGATCTGGAGGGGAAATTCAAAATTGAAACGTCAAACTAAAATTATCTGCATATCTTTAAATTTTGTAATCTGCCGAGTTTTAAAAAATGCGATCGGGTAACGTGTCGTATGTCGGTTTAATCAGGAGACTTTGGCCTTTCGTTTTGCGAAAAAAAATCGTAGCCACGTCGCTCCGTAACGCAGGTCCGTATCGACGAAGACAAAGTACGCCGAAAAACGGTTGTCATCGGTACTTTGAGGCGCTCAAAGTTTACTTTTTCGAAATTGACGGTAATTTCTGACGGTCAGAATCGTTTCGTCAGCTCATTATCGTTATTTTTCGATAGCTGTATAATTTTTACTCGCTCACGTACGGTAGTAATAAGCGAGGACAGAGCCGGATGACAAGGTGACTTTTTCACGCGTCGAAAAGTTGCGTATTGTCGAGGAATTTTTAAATAATCGAAACTTTTCAACGTAACGAATGGAGAAACGGATAAAATTGCGATCCCGTATTCGAAGTACGGGCTTTCTTATGCGACAGTCGCCAGGTCCGTATCTTCGTTATCTTCGGAGGAGATAGACCGTGGACGGCGATAAGCGCGTTTTCATAGCAAAAAAGTCATATTGACGACGTTCGAGGTTCGTTTATTCGAAACGGGTTGCCGTAAACGGAAAAAAGTCTCTCCGCGTAATTCGTAAGCGCTAGTCGAGATGTACGAAACGCGGCGCGGCGAAATTTCTTTTCTCTTCGGCGTAGGAAGGATAGCGAAGTTTTTACCGCGACTTGCCGTTTTTCTCGCGTTTTCTTTAACATTTTCTTAAAAAAAACTAAGACGCGGACCGCGATCGGTTCCGCCCTAAAGTGTGCGCCCGTCGTTTAGCTATCGAACGAGACCGATCCGAGTCGATATTTCGATATAACGCGAAAAGAGTGTGAAATAACGCCGCCCGTACCGTCGGAAAACGGTAGATTTTTCGACTTTACCGGCCGTTTTCGATCCGATCGTTCCTCTCGCCGCGACGGCTCTCGCCCGCCGTAAAGCGCCGAGTTTCTAGTTTCCGAAACGGTACTCCTTCTTCCGAACGTTTCGCGACCGGGAAAAAAACCGAAAAAACCGCGTCGACGTCGCCCGCCCAAATTTCTAACGTCACGTGACCTCTTCCTTAAACAATCGATCACCGCTTAGTATAGCGACTAGCGAAGTTTCTGGCATGCTAACGCTTATGCCAAATATTGTACGTTGATGTCTTTATTTAAAACCTCACGTAGCGCATTGCTGGTATGCTAATGCAATGCTAGCGATATATACTTTATCCCTATCTCTAATCATTTTCTATCCTTTGACATGTTTGATCTGGTATCTGGTCTCTGATGTCTGGTGTCTGGTATCTGATGTCTGGTATCTGGTGTCTGGTATCTGGTATCTGGTGTCTGGTATCTGGTGTCTGGTGTCTGGTATCTGGTATCTGGTGTCTAGTATCTGGCGTCTGGTATCTGGTATCTGATGTGGTGTCTGGTGTCTGGTATCTGGTATCTGATGTCTGGTATCTGGTGTCTGGTATCTGGTATCTGGTGTCTGGTATCTGGTATCTGGTGTCTGGTATCAGGTATCTGGTATCTGGTATCTGGTATATGGTATCTGGTGTCTGGCATCTGGTATCTGGTGTGTGGATCTGGTATCTGGTATCCGGTGTCTGGTGTCTGGCATCTGGTGTCTGGTATCTGGTGTCTGGTATCTGGTGTCTGGTATCTGGTGTCTGGTATCTGGTATCTGGCATCTCGTATTTGGTATCTGGTGTCTGGTATCTGGTATCTGGTATCTGGAATCATATATCTGGTATCTGGTATCTGATGTCTGGTATCTGGTATCTGGAATCTGGTATCTGGTATCTGGTGTCTGGTATCTGGTATCTGGTATTTGGTATCTGTTATCTCTTTATCTGGTATCTGGTTTCTGGTGTCTGGTATCTGGTATCTGGTGTCTGGTGTCTGGTATCTGGTATCTGGTATCTCGTATCTGGTATCTGGTATCTGGTATCAGGTATCTGATGTTTGGTATCTGGTGTCTGGTATCTGATGTCTGGTATCTGGTGTCTGGTATCTGGTGTCTGGTATCTGGTGTCTGGTATCTGGTGTCTGGTATCTGGTGTCTGGTATCTGGTATTTGGTATCTGTTATCTCTTTATCTGGTATCTGGTGGCTGGTATCTGGTATCTGGTATCTGGTATCTGTATTGTGTTTGGTATCTGGTACCTGGTATCTGGTATCTGGTGTCTGGTGTCTGGTATCTGGTATCTATTATCTGGTATCTCGTATCTGGTATCTGGTATCTGGTTTCTGGTGTCTGGTATCTGGTATCTGGTGTCTGGTGTATCTGGTTTCTGGTGTCTGGTGTCTGGTATCTGGTGTCTGGTGTCTGGTATCTGATGTCTGGTATCTGATGTCTGGTATCTGGTGTCTGGTGTCTGGTATCTGGTGTCTGGTATCTGATGTCTGGTATCCGATGTCTGGTATCTGGTGTCTGGTGTCTGGTATCTGGTATCTGGTGTCTGGTATCTGGTATCTGGTGTCTGGTATCTGGTGTCTAGTATCTGGTTTCTGGTATCTGCTATCTGGTATCTGTTATCTTTTATAAGTTATCAGTTTTCATTTTTCATTTTTCTATTTTAATCTTTAATTTTTAATTTTTAATTTTTAATTTTTAATTTTAATTTTTAATTTTAATTTTTAATTTTTAATTTTTAATTTTTAATTTTTAATTTTTAATTTAATTTTAATTTTTAATTTTTAATTTTAATTTTTAATTTTTAATTTTTAATTTTTAATTTTTAATTTTTAATTTTTAATTTTTAATTTTCGATTTTCGATTTTTCGATTTTTCGATTTTTCGATTTTTCGATTTTCGATTTTTCGATTTTTCGATTTTCGATTTTTCGATTTTTGATTTTTTGATTTTTCGATTTTTGATTTTCGATTTTTCGATTTTTCGATTTTTCGATTTTTCGATTTTTCGATTTTCGATTTTTTTTCGATTTTTCGATTTTTCGATTTTTCGATTTTTCGATTTTTCGATTTTTCGATTTATTTTTGATTTTGATTTTGATTTTGATTTTTGATTTGATTTTTGATTTTTGATTTTGATTTTGATTTTGATTTTTGATTTTTGATTTGATTTTGATTTTTGATTTTTTTGATTTTGATTTTTGATTTTGATTTCATTTTCAATTTTTCATTTTTCATTTTCATTTTTCATTTTCATTTTTCATTCTTCAGAT